GAGAATCTATCAAACATCTGGTGATGGCTTGAGTCTTTGCTTCTCCATAATAAACATCCCCAGGTTCCTGAAGTGTATCTCAAGCAGCATGGTTTCAAGTTTCCTCACTATTTTATATCTTTGATCATGTGCCTATGAATGAACTCTGGCTGGTCTACTTTTCAACATAAAATGTGGGGGCCAGAATGTAACACAGTACCCAGGTGAGGTCACAGACTCTGAAGTCTCTTAGAGTCTATGCTGGGGAAAGCTTTACCATATTATTGACCTGAGAAGCCTCTATGACTTTCTCGCTTGTGCTGCTGTTAAAACACATGCCCCATTCTGTCCTCATGCAGCTGGTGTTTTTGGACACATACAATTATTCAATTAGTCCTATTATATTGGATAAATTCAGTCTATTATTCTATTGTGAAGCTTAGACTGCTGTTTCATCTTCTAGTAAATCTCTTTCCAGCTTAATTTCCCTGATAATTTGATCAGGATGCCATCAAGTCCAAAGAGGACAAAGCAAGGTGAGCATGCATTCATTCATCAGTCAACAAAGTTATGGAGAGCCTGTTACATGCTAGCGTTGGGCTAGGTCCTAAGGATACAAGGGAAAGCAAAAATTGGCATCCTCTGCTCACACAAAATTTACCCTAGAATGGAGAAAAAAATTAAGCAAACGCTCACTCTAATTACTATACCATTATAAACTGTGACAGTGTGCCAAAGGGTAAGAATGTGGCTTTATGATAGTATGTAACAAAGTAATCAGACTCAGGCTAGGGCCTGAAGAGAAAGCGACACTCAAGGTTGAGCAGGTTTTGCTAAAGTGGGGAGGGAAAGGGGGATACACCAGATGGAGGATACAGACAGACACTGTGCTATTAGGAAAGAGCGTCTTCAGACTAGGAGTTAGCAGGCTGCTAATTCTACTACTCTGCAGCTTCCAATTCTCCACTTTGTCTTAAAGGTTATTTTGAATGATGGACTGACTCTTCGAGACCAAACTGAAGTCTAGTTCATCAATCAGTTCTTACAGAATCCACTCTCTTGAAACCAAGAACATTTCCTAACTTGAGCTTTCTCGCAGCATTCCCCCTCATACGTGATCCTTCAAAGTCAACAACTATGTTTTCAAAACATCACCCTCTAAGTTTTCTTCACATTTAAGATGTAATTTACCAGAAACAAAAGACTGGAGAATTAATTTAACCAACTAGAATGGTATTTTTCAAAGTGCAAGCCAAGGACCAGCTGCATCAGAATCACTCAAAGTATTTGTTAAACTGCAGATTCCTGCCCCCCTCCCCCACCCCATCGGGAGGCCAACTGAATGAGGAGTTGAGGGCTCAGGAATCTACATTTAACAAGCTCCCCCAAGTGATTCCTCCACTTTACTGCTTGAGAATCCCTGAATGAGTTGTGTTCTCACAGCACCCACACTCATAGTCCCTAATACTTAATCCTCCTGGGTCTGAAGTGCTTTGGAGTGGTCTGGCAAAGAGAAAGCAGGGCTTTGAAGTCAGAGACCTGGACTCAAATCTGATTCTAATTCTTGCTATCCAGGTAAACTTGGAGAAGTTAGTTTCCCAGGTCTCAGTTTCTCCATCGGTAACACATAGATAATACCTGCTTCATAAGGATGTTATGGTAATTCATCAGGAGAGTCAGGTCAGTGGTAGAGGAAGCCTATCATTCTTTGGGACATTGATTGAGGCCTACATACCATTGATAACAAGATGAATAAAACATCACCAGGCACTGTGCTGCATACCCTGTATACCAGGATGAAAGAACATTGTCCATTTCATTAATTTGTTGTTTGTTGCTCCTGTCCCTTGGTGGCTAAGGTATAAATTATTTTTGGAGCCTCTCCCAACCCCTGTGCTATTTTCTGATAACAGAGTCCCACCAAACAATGTAGTTTCCAACCACCCCCCTGAACCACTGCACTTATGTCCAAGTCCTGACCCCTGAGCGTGGCTTCAACCTGAATCATCTTTGCCAGCCTTATCTCTCACCCATCTCCCCCGAGCTCGAGCGCCTAGGATCAAACACTGGTTCTGCCACTTGTTAGTATAAGGCCCCGGTGAAGTTACTTTAACTCTCTGAGCCTTCGTTTCTTCATCTGTGAAACAGGGATAGTAACAGTACCTATTTCATGGGGATTTTTTGAGTATTAGATGATACTCAGGGCACTCCATGTTAGCGATGCCCACTGTCACTGCACCCACACTAGCAGCTGTTTCCTCTCAGCTCCCTGACAGCTCTGAGCTCCTTCTCACCTCTGGATTTTCACTACTCCCCTTGCCTGTAATACACTCTGCCTCTTCTCACAGCCACCTTCTACTCGTGAGAAGGCTTTCTGATCCACCCCTCACCCCACCACTTAACAAGGTAGGTTAAGAACACCTGCTAAACACCCACTCACTCTACTTTTCCTCTGAGGCACTTATTACCATAATTCAATGTTTGTTCATGCTATTAAAATAGGGGATGTGTCTGACGCTGCTCCGTGTCCACCCTGATACTTAGCCCAATTCTGAGTCCACAGCAGCATGCATGAAATAACTTAAGTATCTGAGGAATTAATGACTTCTTAAATCCAACTATGCCCAGTCTTTCTCTCTTGGAATTGCAATAACCTCTAACAGTCAGTCACTTTTCTCCCCAGGGGCGGAACTCTTTGCTCCCTGTATCTTCTGAGATAAAATTTCCAGAAATGTAAATCAAGAACTAAACAAATGAACTTTTGGCCAAGCGACACTTCCAGGAGTATGTGTCTTGACTCCAAGTTACTTTAGGTTTGCCCTGTTTAATACAGTAGCCACTACCGTATGGGGCTACTGAGCCTTTGAGATGTTGCTAGTCCATAGTGAGATGTGCTGAGTGGGGGATGGTATAGCTCAGTGGTAGAGCATATGCATAGCGTGCATGAGGTCCTGAGTTCAATCCCTAGTACCTCCATTAAATAAATAAATAAACCTAATTCCTAATTACCTCCCCTTCAAAAAACAAAAAAAGAATTGCTTTAAAAAAAAAGACTAAAATAAAAAAGGATACCAAAAACAAAGTGAGATATGCTGTAAATGTAAAATACACTCTGGGTTTTAAAGACTTGGTACCAAAAAAAGAATGTTAAATATCTTATAATTTGTAATATTTCATACATGTTGAAATAATATTTTGGAAATATGGGGTTAAATAAAACATATTATTAAAATTAATTTTACCTGTTTCTTCTTACCTTTTTAAATGTGGCTACTAGAAATCTTACACATACGGCTTGCATTAGATTTCTATTGGACAATGCTGTTTCAGACTATCTGCCTAAAAGGTATGTTGTATTTCACCACAGCATCCCTCCATTTCTTCTCATTTTAATCTGTAACAAAACATACTCTAAATTCCTTCATAGGTTTATCTCGGTATCGACACTTCTGATGAATGGGATACTGACCACTCCTCTGAACACGTCTGGTTCTTTTAAATGGGATAGCTTCCTACAACCACATTTAATTCTGAGTCTTATTACACCAAATCCCAAGGAACCGGAGATTTACCATCTGGTGGCTCCTTTATCATTTACACTGCAAACACTATGGCTAAGAACACAAGATCTGCAGCAGACCACCTGTTTTGGAGTCCTGGCTCTACTACTTAATAGCTGTGTAACTTTGTTACTCTTAGTATCTCTGTGCCTCAGCTTCCTCAACTCAAAAAGGGGGATGATAATACTGTCTACTTGGTAGGATTGACAGAATTAATTGATGTTGGTAAAGTGTTAAGATGGTATGTAGCACACAGTAGGCATTCAATAAGTAACGACGACTTGTGTCATTATACACATCTCACCCTTCCCACCCACCTACTCATATATTCTCTTGCATTACTGTGCATCTCTCCTAGTGACACTGTTCTTTCCAAATCTGAGATTTTACATTCCAGTCTTCTAACTCCAAAACTCTGCTGCTCAGCTGACAGCAGCACTTTGGTAAGGTACTTAATTTCTCTCACTTTTCAGCTTTTCTGTAAATAAGAGTGGATATTGCTACCTAACTTGCGTAAGTTTGAATAACACAATATATGTAAGTTCCTTGCATGGTCCTTAGCACCTAATGGATACTTCATATGCATTTTCTGATTTAGAACATGGGATCCTCACAATACACCATAAGACAGATATTTTATGAAGAAGGAAACAGGATCTGGGAAGTCAACACTCGCCCAAAGTGTCAGAGAGCTACATGGCAGCTCCAATATCATTGGAAAGAAGTTTTACTCCGAGCCAATTGTTTGAAACCGAAGTCACGAAACCGAAGCTGCTTTCCAAAGGCATGAGAGCTAGAACTAAATTAATTCATGCTGTTCCTGGCATTCGAATGTTTGAAGAAATGCAGAAACCGGCGAAGTATCTCTAAAAAGCTGTGTTGCACTGAAACTGCAACAGAAAATCATGATACAGATTTTGTTAATATCATTATAAGGTCAAAGAAGCCGAGAGCCCTAGAGTCAGCGACGTGGATGAAATTTCAGCAAACAAAATTGAATGACGAGCTTCTCCTCTAGCCCCCAGAGGAAAACGCGGACCCCGGCGTGAGGAGATGCAAC